GCTGAGGGAAGTCGTGTGCAAGCAAGGGTGGTCCTCATAAAAAGCTGAGGGCTCCATCCTCCGTACTCACCCTTTCAGCCGGTGTTTTGGGCTTTTCTATCAGCAGTGTGGAATGAAACTCATGCTGATAAAGTCAGCAGATGACCCCAAGATTGAAGGAGTTTGAAGGCTGGGCCACAAGTGCAGCACTGTCCAGAGGAGCGCAGGGCTGCACATTCAGCACAAAGAGCCCACTCCCCGATGGGCTGGGTGTATGCTTCTGGCACAGCACTGGAAGCAAAAGGGTCAATGTGACTCTTTCACATCACCCCTGCTTTGCTCTTGCCTCAGGCTGAGCCTCCAGCTAACGTGTCTGCTCAGGACAGAGCTGGTGGGCATCCCCAGAAGGTCAGAGGATGAAGAAACTTGCCATGTCAGGGGCACTAAGTAGCTGCTCAAAGAGCTGGAAGCATGTGAGCAGTCTCAGGAAAGAGATGAGATATCTGACGGGAACGAGCTCTTTGTCAGGGAGATCTGTGGATAGTGTGGGGCAGGTAGGAGGCAAATGCTTGTGATGGCAGGAGGGTTTGGGGCAATCAGCAGCTTGGACAGCTCAACACACTCGCCCATGGAGTGCCAGGTCCTCTGAACCAGCAAAACGTTGGAGGCTCTTCTTGGTGCCCCTTCCACAAGAACATCAGGTGCTGCCTAAAAGGCAGGGCTGATTGTTTTGTCAAGAGCTGTTCTGGTGAGAGAAAACCTTGTTCCTTGGTCTGTCCTAGCACCTGGCTTGTTTGGCCTTTCCATGGCAGAGGGGCCGGGGTCGGCGTGCGGCACGCTGCAGCTCGTGGCGGATGACAATGGGGACTGGTTCTGGGATGCTGCCCAAGCCGAGCCCCAGCCTCGGCTCCGCTCCCTCTGCCCCCAGCAGCCAGCCGAGCTCCCGCCTCGCGGCAAGGCACCATCCCACGGCAGGTCACGGCACAGTCCCACGGCCGGGGGGACCTGGGGGGCTTGGGTCTCCTCCACTCCGTGCCATCA